ATCGATTTCTCAGGTAACCCGGAGAATTGATCAGGGATGCTTCATGAAGTTACCACTAAAGGTATAATGTGAAATGGTATGAGTTTAACACCCCTATCAACACCTTTAACGTCCGCCTCCGATAGGACCGAGCCAAGTGGGAAGTTCGTGTAAAGTGCCTTTCCCAAGGACACAACGTCGGCGGACCGAGCTGAGGCTCGAACCCCCGAACCCGCAATCTCACGATTACGAGAGGTATTATTTGTGTGGATTTCTCTAGTACCTGACTAACGAAAAGCGACTGTGCAGGTATGATTAAGTGACTTGGTTTACCCTCCGATGTCTTGTCAGAGCTGTTCATTTGTTTTTTAACTGTGAGGTTATTTTTAAAAAAAGCTAAATTTACCATCTACCCTGATAATGAAGCTCTCTTTACCCCCCTTCGTTATAAAAAAGGGGTGGGGGGGGGGAGCGATATCGGGGGGGGGGTCTCAATTTACCACCCAGTTAAAAAAAAAAGGCTCACTTTCCTGTCCATAGTTGTTTTTTTAAAGACTGACGTCTGTGGTGTAGCAGATAGGTGCGTCGCCGTTGCACGGAGAAGGCATGAGTTTGATTCCCATGTAGAAGGTTTTTTTTCCGAACATCTCCGTCTGTCCGTAAGAATGCTGTGTATCCCTCCTAGCTGGGCTTGCCCCTTATTGGCAGAGCCGAAGCTGCCCGCTTCTTAAACGATTTAAACTGTGTTGATGAGAGCATAGAAAACAACAAATATATTGTCAAACTTCGTAGTAACACCCCCACCCCGTTGTACCACCGACCCCGTTGTACCGCCAGGTTTTGCCAATGTATGAAAAAGAACTATAATAATATATTATAAACATAGTATTTCGGCCTTAACACCGCCATCCACCAACTGTCTGAATAGTACGGTCCTTACTAAACTTATGTACATTTGCCCCGCTGTACCGCCAGCGAATTGGCCACCAGAGGTACACATTACTACACACGATGCATACACTCGGTGGCTGTCGGATAATCTCTGTCGCACACAGACAGAGGGGGCTCGTCAAAAGGCTCAGTTGACCCAGTTTCCCGCCCGCCGCCCAGTATTGTTCTGTCCCCGTCGTTTTATGGAAGAAAAATCAATCCTGAAATTAAGCAAACTGAGCCCCAAAATGTGAAATTATGCGATTCTGTTAATTTTAACAAAGAATGATAAAGGAAAATAATCAGAAATTATGCAAAAAAAGATCAAATTTTGCTAAATTATGCGGGGTGCATAAAACCACGAGGACAGATTGTTTCTGTGAGATTGAAGTATCTAAATCAAGGAAATACATTTATACTAGATCTATATAAAAAGCTCTGTCTAACTTGGGTCAACGAGGGTGGAAAAAATATCTATATCAAAGAATTTGAAAACAAAATTCTTCAGGGTCATCAGGATTTATTGTATAAAACATCAACATGGATGACACAGAGTACAAA